GTATGTGTGTATATATATATATATATATATATATATATATATATATATATATAGGTTTACTTGGCTAGGTGGTCAGGATTTGGAACAGTAACGAAACATTACTTAACAGTTTATATACAAAATCAATAAAAGATGGTACTTATCAATAAAAGATGGTACTTATTCTATCACTGATCAGCGTTCAAATGTACATATGATCGTCACCCTAAATCAGATTAATTTCAGATCAGTTTTCAATCTGAACCAAAGTAAGTACAGTAACTAAACAAACAGTAATTAAAACAAACGTTATCATAATACTAATCATGATTTTACTGAGAAATGATATTTAAAAAAAACCCACTCAAACGTGGATTTAATGATGTTCTCCTTCCTTTCCTATTGTCAAGGTCTGACTGTACAGTAATAGTCGTTGATCTAGGGGCTCCACAAACCACCTACGAGTCCTGTGGTTTGTGACTCCCTGGTAGGTCTATTCGCATCATAATGAGACTTTTCTATCCTAAAGTCAATAACGCTATTTGACCACAAATATCTATTTATGATATCGAGGGGCGTTTCTAACATTTTCAGACCGTTTCCCTGGGAGATACTACGGCTCTATTGGTAAGTCGTCAGGAAATATTTTTGGTCCCTGGCTGCTATATTCGTAACACTTCAAGTATGAGAATATATTCAATACAATTGTAATAACTAAGTCAGTTATAAGTTAATCGCTAAGATCCGGGCATACTAAGCAAGCATAATGCTTTAATTCGTGTGACGTCACCATCATAATAACGCTGTGGAGGCTACTTCTCCAGGGCCTCCTGTTTCGGCAGCAACGGTTACGTAATCGTATTTAGACGGATACAGTACCCAAACGCAAACCGATAAACAGGTATTGACTAAGAAACGGTAAAAATCGAAGAAATTAAAACACGTCACATGATTGGACAACTCGGAATAAAGACAGCAGACGATTATTGATTTCTTATATCGCCGACAGAATAACGATAAGATCGTCTGCTCGCAGTGTTTTGGCCTTTAACCGCGTCATATCATTACTCGCAACCTGCTCCTTGTATGTTTTCATAAGCGGGAGAGCTGGCATTTCCATTCTGTTCTAGAGAATTACACTTGAATTTGTCGGGATCTAACATCGAGTGTTTTTCTGAGGCAAATATCGTATCATCAGTGTTAAAAGGATAATATTCATTTCTTAATAATAAGGTAGGAGACACAACCTTTTAATTTCATCTATCTTAATTTATTTCTACCATTCTGTGTAATAGCGCTAAGGATATGCATAATTATGAAAATAATATGCACAAACCATAACGTATATATCTACAACATAAATCATCAATTAAATTCTGCGCACAGAAAATATTTTATATTTGAACATTTAGCATGTCCTCGATATCATCCAAAAAACGTCTCTCAAAGTAAACAACTCGGGCGTGACGTATGCAATGTGGTTGTAAAAGCAATTAAGCCTAATATTCATTGATATTACACCAATCCACACCGTATTATATTTTGCACTTTCCAACATTTTGTAGAATAAATATATATGGGTTTCTTTACATACGGCGGAGGTTTAGGTTTTCTTTACAAATCAAAACGAAAATATACATCTGAGAGAGAGAGAGAGAAAACCCCAAATTGTGTAATATCATTATGTAAATGACTGACACAAGGCTTATTATGCGAGACAATATTTTATGGGATAATACAGTTAATGTCGGTGAATTGAGAATTTGTTCATTAAAACGGTAAACCCAATTTAGCATCGCACAGGGAATAGATTCGATTGTTCTGACTTAAGAGTGTTATATCACAGTGTTGATGCGATTGGTTTAAAGGCCACTTACTAAGACTCAGTACCATAGTGACAATTAATGCGCTTTAACTCGCAAGTAATGACAAAGGACATGGAATAGTTCTTAGTAGACCTAATGATCATGATAATTCTAACCTCAAAGCCGGTCTTGGCAATGTCATAATTGTAGAATTTATAATAAATATTATTTAAAAAATAGGAATGTAGGTGATTATGATGATCATGTTGGTGATGATGAGAACTGACGATGATGATGATGATGATCTATGATGACGATGATCATGATTTAATGATAATGACGCTGATGGCGATATAGCAGTATAGTAATATGTAGCAGCAGCACCGGCGCGCCGCGCCGCGCCGGCGCGTACCGGCGGTAGCAGCAGTAGTAAGATTGATGACGCAGAATAAAGCTAAATGGTACAAACGCATTACACGTTAAAAAACATCATATTTTTTGCAAACATTAAAAAGGTTACGGCAAGAGGTTACCGTAATGCTTTTGCTATATATTTAACGAATTATGTTTAGTACCGTTGCCTATACAGCAAAACGGTCGCCCGATTGTCGCGTGTAATTAATTCGTTTCTGCGAGTCCTAATGAAGAGGTAATTATAGTAAACGAAGCCGCATCTCCTTGTTAAAGGGCAACGGACTCTGCATTGAATGTATTTATATTATTACAGAATTCCTGTTCATTATATACGCCTGGGCCATTAGATGTGTGATTACATGGAATAGTCCAGGGAATCGTCGTGGGGAGTAGTGTTTCCCGGGAATACCAGGCGAGTGAAACTCTAGCGGTTACTACGAAACCAAGCTATTGATTGATGAGGGTAGTTTTGCAAGATGGATGCAAATTATAACAAAATTTTACAACGTAACCATAATACAGAAATGCATCTCCAAGAACAGTATTTAAGAAAAAATTAATGCGAATAGGTTCGAAGCCTGCGAAAACAAAATCTCTATTTCTATAAAGCGATTTTCTTTCTGTATGTAAGCATTTTGAGTTAAATATTTAAATCACTATTGATATGGTAATACTTAAATTCTAATAAATAAAAAAAAAATGCTCAAAATAATGATTCAGTGACAATGGGCGTGGCTGCTTGGCTGATTAGTAGTATAAACAGTGCTCTATTAAATTTAAGGAACAAAGGGCTAATAGAGGGTATTACCTGTCTCTTATACACATCTAGATGCGTATAAGAGACAGGCTTAGAAGTATCCATAGGGGGAAACTAAAAGAACTAAGTATATACTACAATAAAGAGGCAAACTCTATACCGCCCTGTGCTTAGCTCGGGCGTTATAGGAGAAGAATCTGCAAGCGTGGATTCGAACCCGGGACCTTATGGTGTCTATGCAGTGGCACAGCAGGTGGTTAAGTCGTCGGCAAAATGTCTGGGCATCAATCTCGGTCAGGGCATCTTTTTTACACACATATAAACGTTCAATATATAGCCCTATAAACACATAATAGGCCTACCTCATTTGCATTTCCAACAGCTCAACTAGGCCTACATATAAACTCGTTAAAACCCTTTATCCCTGCGCATGAAATAGCCTGTAGCGAAGAATTAATATTATACGTGTGATGAATTCTGGAAAATACCTTAACATTTAATTGGTCATTTAAAGGGTCGAATAAGATTATTAACGTTTAATGAAACACAGATCAAACAATGCCGTTGTCACTGATTTACAGAGGTTTTACCAGGGAAATCCTTAAATTGATTACCAGTCGATTTAACGGTCTATAGAAACAGTACCGGTAATATTTAAACATCGGCAACATTTTTCGTTTTAATTTTCAACGGTGATAACTTACAAGAAGTACAAAGTACTATAAGCAATTCAATTCGGACTTACTGATTATAATTTTTATATTTTAAGATGATGAGTGACATTGATGATATGATATCGGTATCGGTACCGTATATCGATCTTGCTTATAAAAATGTCCAAAAATATACTGCACCAAACAATAAATGCAATCAGAATGAATTGATTCATAATTTGGTGATGATTTTACTGACGATAATGATAACAGGACGGCGATATAAAGTTATTGCAGTATTGCTGATGAATGATAAAAAATGAAGACCCTTGTTCCGAACCTGAATAAGAAAATACCTAAATACCTCAGAGACAATACTATAAACGACAATTCAAACCAAATACGAGCGACTCGTCAATCAATTAAATTTCAGACAAAGAAATAGTTATTACGAGGCAATTAGGTCACAAATCGTTGGGAATTATCTAAATTAAACAAAAATCTCTCATTCATCAAAATTACTAGAAGTCGCTTTGAAATTCGAACAGCGTAAATTTATCCACGTGCCCTTGATATAAAAAAAAAAGGAGCAAGTAAATAAAGTAAGTCACACTGCCGAGATAGGCACAACGAAATCAGTGAAGGTTCACATTAAAATTCAGATGCAAAGAAGATACATTAGCTGAAATAAAAACGGGCTTCTCAAAACGTGTTGACAATTATAATCTATGGGTTCTCCCTTCTTTGATTGGCTGCCATCTCACACTGTTACAACCTCATTTACATATTTATTATTACGTCATCATGGATAGGATAATACTACTGAATAGAGTGGAGGAATAAAATATATTTATATTCGTCCATGTGTACACTAACAGGTGGTTTGAAGATTCCAGTCTGTGGCGCACCTCTCACAATCTCGCCACATTTTTTCGTTTTTATAACAACACCTTAAGAACAAAATAAGAACAAATTGAGGCTCAGAGGTTTTATGTCAAATGAGGTTTTTATTTTTTAAAAATTGAAAATAAACAAAAAATTATTTTGGTCTTATCTGTACCTTATGTGCAGTAGGCGCGACTATGTAATAAAACAAAATATGTACAGTGATATACTGCTGAATAATAATAAATATCCATTTTCGAAAAGTGTGTAAAAACAAAATAAGAATATTTTGAGCATGAAATTGGCAAAAATTTAGAACACTCATAACTTCAGCGATGTCTTAATTTATTTCTGAAGATATTACTATAGTGTTTAACAAAAATATATTAGGGCATCAGAATAAGATGGCTAGGCTAATATGGTGTGAAGAGTTAAGCTGAATAAGTAGGCCAAATTTTAAATCCTACTTTTTCATCATATCTCAATTAGTCGATAAAACGAAAGGTAATATGAAAAGGCTCGGGAGTCTTATCATATCCACCCCGATGGGGACAATGTTTTATCTCTCTCTCTGAAAATACTATTTAAATTGTTTTTCCTTAATACACTTTTTTTTAATAAGAACCAGTAAAATTTTGCCCAGACTCAGTGTTCTTATTTTTTGGCCAATTTCAGGCTCAAAATATTCTTATTTTGTTCTTATTTTACACACTTTTCAAACATAGAAAATTGTACAGCAGTATACATTGTACTGGGAGGTGAAAGCGGCCCTGCAAAAAAATGACCCATGAAAGAAAGGCCCAGAAAAAAATGGGCCCACAAAAAAGGCCCCGGTTAAAAAATGGCCCCAAATGGGAGGTAGTTACACCTACTGTACTGTATTATAGAGGGTATTACATAGTCACACCTACTGCACATAAGGTACAGATATTATTTTTGGGTTTTTCTAGACATTCTACCTCAGCCTCAATTTGTTCTTACTTTCTTAATTTTTAAGCAATTTCAGCCTCAATGTTCTTATAAAACGTGTTCTTAAAAAAAAAAAAGTGTAGTTCATGTTTATATCGGATCCGACAACAATTTACCGGTATCATGTGATTGAGAGCGGCTTAGCTCCAGTCGACTCAAGTGGTAGGCCTAGCCCCGTGCACTGAACCACCGAGACCTTTTGGTCCCCGGTTCAATTCTCATCGCTGTTTTCCTTGTGTTTCAACTGGCGGGCTTAAATGCAGGTTACGATGGCACACCGTCCTTCGAAGGCATTGGTTCCCTGTGCAATATGACCCGTGTGCACATTAAGCCGGGCACAGCGTTTTTAATGGGAATATCAACGGAGTAGGCAGTAGGGCACAGTACCGATCCGGGCCTCATATTCATCTGGTAGAGCAACCGAACGGTAATGGGTCTTCGGTTCGAACCATGATCGACCAATAATATTTTTCTCCAATATTTATCATAATTACTATAATACAATGGTATTTTTCTTTAAGATATTCAATGAATTTATATAGGCCTATACAAAATAATGTCTATGATTAATTGATGTCAGTGACACCAATAAGAGTTTAACGCCTCCCTGATTCAACAAGACATCTAAAAAGCTCAGATTTTGATGTCTTTCAAGTAGGTCCAATGATGATATTTGAATGAATCATCGCAACATCTTCTAGACTGGGGTCATTGACCTTGGTTGACATACATTTTGGAAAACCCCTAGGG